TCGCAAAGTTCATAGAATTTGTAGGTCAGCTTTTTCTTGGACAATGAATGGGACTGTTATACATTTTGCTGCTATTTCACACTTTAATCTCTAGTCTGCAATCTATTTCTCAGTGATAGTGGTCGAAGCAGTTCACGGACAGCAGCGGGAATATCAAGGTGACCTTATCATCACATTTAGTGTTTATCATTTCCATTGCATATTTCAATGTACCACCTGCGATCGTCGCTTAGGATGCACTCCGCAATCAATATAATATTTAACAAAAGTATTTCAAGCAGCACTTCGGGTAGCAGCGCCGACAGTGAGACATCATACTCACACCAAGTGTATATCGTTCTATTAACTGTTGTCGATACTTCTCAGCGATAGTGATCCCAGCAGTATTTTGCGTAGCAGCAGTAGCAGCAAGGCATCATTCTAAAAAAAAAAGTATATCTCGAAGCATTTATGTTGATTTCAATCTATACTGTAGTCGATACTTCTCAATGGTTGTGATCCCAGTAGTGTTTCGGATAATAGCAGTAGCAGCGAGACAAAATCCTCAAAAAAAGAATTGTGTCTATCGAAGCATTTGTGTTGATTCTTATCTATCGACTGTAGTCGATGATCTCTGCGATAGTATTTCCAGCAGTTTTTCGGAGAGCAGCAGTTGGAGCGATTTATCATATATATATATATATATATATATATATATATATTAAATTCTTATTCTTATTCTTATTCATATTATTTTTATTATTACTATTACTATTACTATCATTTTATTATTGGCACCGCCAACTTGCTCTGATTACATTATTCTATTATTCTATTTTACTATCTTACATTGTTATACTATTATATTATTATTGTATTGCATTATCATATTTTTATATTATATATTATTACTATTATTATTATTATTATTTTGTGTGTGTATATATATATATATATATATATTGAAGCACTTATTTTGATACAAATCTATAAATTGTAATTTATACTTCTCAGCGATAGCGATTCCAACAGTTCTTCGGATAGTAGCAGTAGCAGCGAATGCTCGTCCTCGTCGAGCGACAGCGACGAACGATCGCGCAAGCGCAAACGCAAACACAAGTCCAAATCGAAATCAGACTCAAAAGCAAAATCAAAATCGAGGTCAAAATCCAAAAAGCGGGGCAAGTCGTCGTCTTCTAGAGGTAAAGCGCATAAGGTACGTGTACATTGGTTCTCAAACTGTGGTATGAATTCCGCGGTTGTTTCCGCGGGGCTTTCTTTGTGAGAAATAGTTTTTCACACATCCATCCCAATGGTTGCGTGGTTGCGAACAAGAGTGCTTTTTAATATGATATACCACCAAATAACGTCTGATTTCATACAGTAGGTAAACATAGGAATCGCTTCAAATTACGTTGAATATCACAATTGCGACAATTAGACGTCTGGGTATCGTGATTACTAATTTCTAAGATCAGTGCACCCAGATAGGGCACAAGAACTCTCCGCACGCACCGTTGGCTGGTATTGATAATTGGCGTTCTTGATCAGAGATCAAAAGCAGGCTGAGAAACAATGCGCTTTCTGCTTTATTTCAGAGTATTCTTCGCGGTTTGTCGGCTTATGTACGTTGATGTTCTGACAAGTCTCGTCACAAACGCGGGTACACCGACGTCCTGTCGCTCTCAAACAGTGTTAGCAATTATGAAGTATATGTACCTCCTGTTTACTTGTCAGACACTCGATGGATGCCTTCCAGATCACCCGACCTATCCTCAGCAACACTCCTCTTTCCATTGATACCGCAGAAGTCATCGCGCAGATGAGAACCGAGCCAAATCACGGCGTGAGAAATTATGAAATGTCTCGAAATCTGGGCTAAGCGTCCACATCGCTACAAAACAACGGACTACCAAGCAGCCAGCCAGTACAACGGGATATAGCCTCGGTCTCATAAAAGGTTGGTAGTGGTGGCGGGGTCGCACGGTCGAATTAGCGATGTGGAAACAGGAGGGTACTGTGACTTGGTCTGATTGAATGCGTGGTATAGTATAAGGAATTGCTTTGCGACAGCAGGTGTCGGGTTAAAGGTGACCGTGGTGAAAGAGTGTTTTCAGAGAGAGAAAGACGGATGAGGCGGCGGCTCGTGGGAAGCAAGTTCCGAATCTGTTTGCCTTCTATCAGCTATCAGGCTGGCATGAACGCGAGCTTGAGAGATAATATCGGACTGACCATTCGTCGCGAGGAAAAGTCCTTGTGGTCTATGCTGAAATATAGGCTGTGCGTAAACATCGTCTGATATCGCGCTTATCAGCGTATAGTACAGAGACATTATCACTACATGCCATTAGTTTCCATATAAACAAATGAAATTTTGTATGCTTTATTCCTGGGTCTGAGTGTACTGTTCAAGGAATGTATATGGAATGCCCATTTGCCAGTTGATGTCAAATGCGCTAGAGAAGTCAATTTCAGTACAAAGTAGTATATCTATTCCAGACTGTAATTTGTGTGGAGACTTACAACCCCATCTCTAACTATAGCCAATCTGAGAAATCATGACAACCTGCATTCAAACGCAAATCGACCACACTGACTGACCTAAATGAATAAATGAAAACGTTCTATGTATTGTTGCAGTTTCGGTATTAGAACTTGTAAGATATTAAAAAATAAAATACACGCGTCGGTCATTTTCCTTAGCTGTAGATCATCCATACACTCATGTGACGATCTGCTAGAACTGGTACACTCAACAGGCATCGGAAAGTCAACATCAGCTTTATTTAGAATTTCTTCTTCTTCTCATCGACACTGAGATCGCCAGCGCCGAGATTCACGATCATAAGCAAACCACCCACAACTGAGAGGGTCTGGAAGAAGTCGTACTTGACGTAGTCCACTTGCCAGGTGGGGACCGACCAGAAGGGGTTCATGAACATGTTGCGCAGCGACAGACTGAAGCACTGTGGGATATGACACAATAGCAGGGGTAGGAGATTTAGAACCACAATGTACCATGGACGACATTAGGGTTTACGGTTTTAACCACTCTAAAATACTATAAAATGGGTTATGGCAAGGATAGATAGGGGGGTTTTAAATATCGAATATACAATACCACATTCTCGTGGGTAATCAATACCTACACATACTCTGTCATACAATTCATGACAAGGAATGGGGATCTAGAAATATATCGGACAACGGCAGAATGCGGTAAAAAAGCACTGTGATCTATGAGTGAAAGGAAGAATTTTAGGCTCGTGAAGAAAGAGATCACTAGGTGACGATAAAATGTTTCGCATTGGAAAATTAAAACCACTTTCATTATCTGCTAATTCTATTAGCAAGTCCAACTATGATCGACGAAAATTCCCAACTAGGATCAAAAGGGTGTGCTGTGTACATGTGGCCATCAAAATTAGTCGAAGGTATAAAACACTACTGAAGACTCGAAACTCTACTATGGCTACTACAGTCCTTCGATTTGCGTACGTGGTATATTTATATGATTGGAAATTTGGCTGTGTATCTGTGTACATGCGTGTAATCGTGTACTATGATGTACTAGTGTATGTGGTCGTGTATATACACAGGTACATACGCATGTATGAATTTTACACATGCATATGTATACAACAAAATTGCTCGGATGCATCTAAATACATTTATATGACTCTGATCTATGCCTCCGTGTGGTAGTCTGTCACTGCCTCTATGCCCATGCATATATGCGCGTAAACCACTCCCGTTGAAGCATTCGTAAATACACCACATCTCATACATATACATTCATACATACCAACACCAGTGCGCACAGCTTGGTGTTGAATCCCACCACCACACACAGCAGCAGCAGCATGTCAATGGCCGTCATCACCATCTTGAACGGGCTCATATCCAGATGCACCAAGGTTAGGAACATCAGACCCACCAGTACACGCCCCACCAACTGCATGACCGCCTTCTGCTTGTCTTGGTCACCCATTGAAGGCACGTCGGCAAAGTTGTTCTTGTTCTCGACACGCGCCTCGGCCACCAGCAGCACCAGGCCACCGACTAGCGACAGGTTGCGCGCGAAGAAGTTCCATCCCCACAGTGGACTGTATAGAGTGGTCTGAATAGAAAAGCGGCCCCGGAGAGGGGGGGGGGGGGAGGGGGGGGATTAATATATAAAAAGTGGGATATTAATATGGATAGATATGAAGTTGTAGTTGGTGCCTTAATACTATGAGCGAAAAACGTTACATCCCAATAGAGAACTGTTGAGTGATATGAAAGGCAGGGGAAGGGCGATATAGCATGGGGAACTAACAGGGGAAGAAGAGGGAGAGGGGCCAAAGAAAAAGGAGTAGGGTTTCAATATGAGCAAATCTAAGTTTTGTAAATTGTCTATTGAAATCATCGTGCTCACTACGCAGACCTCGGTTATAATGCAAAACTGACCGTGAAAGACGGTGCATGCAAAGAAATTTCAACTCCATAGAGTGCCTGTGTACTATAGGATGTGTGACCTAAGATGGGATATCATTTAAAATGCATGGTAAAACGGGTATATGCGAATTCAAACACATCCTATAAAGCGAACATTTATATAGGTGAGATTTCTTTGCAATCTATCTCTACAAGAAACAGCACTGCCTGTGGTGTCTATATAAACATACTGTAGGATTTTGCACATGCAAACAGTCTTGATCTGTAATCCACGGAGTAATTTCTCAACCACGGAGTAATTTCTCAACAACAACAAATTGCATGCACCGCAAATTCGTCACCAAAACAGGAGGTTCGTCGAGTGAACCGTTTGAAAGCTATCTTATCTTCGTATCTTCTCTTTCGGAGGGTTCAGCGAGTGCACAGACAAAATCACGTCAGCTAGGACGGATAGTATAACTAATATATATGACAACGTACGTATCAATTGCCCGCCCTTACAAGACAGTATGTGCAAACGTGAGTGCGTACGGCGCACACATCCAAGTACAATACTTCATACCAACACGCAGCTTATAATCGAAAATCAAAGACAGCAATTTGTAGCAAATAGAATCTTTCAACCCAGTGTTGCAAAAGTATGCAAAGGGAACAGGAAACGAAGTGCAAATTAATTGGGCACCTAAGCGGTTGATACAAAAATATTCGCAATTTACGATTTGCAGAGGTTGTACTATGCCCTTTAGTGACCGAGATAGTAGCTTTGACCACGATACTCTACAATGGATACCCATCATCACGAAAACATCAACAATATATATATATGTGTGTGTGTGTGTGTGTGTATGTGTGTGTGTGAATGTGTGTGTGTGTGTGTGTGTGCGTGTGTGTGTGT